AATATTTCCCATTACCAAGTGTTTCTGTCCCAAACCCAATAGTTTCTTTGATTCTCCGTCCACATCCATACTGGAGGAAGGAGAAACAAATGAAATACAAATTTTTGCTAGTTTTCAAAGTAATTTCAGCTTTCAAAACCTAGTCTGTTTAATGGAAAAGAGAGCTGCATACATTATAGTGTTTGGAACTATCAGGATGGGTGGGATTTGTTTGGTTTTGTTTGTGTAAATCTGAAACAACTGATAGCTTCAATACCAAGGGAAGATAGGCAATTTCATCCAATCACTGCAATTATCACAATCTGCTGCAAAAAAGGCTGCTGAAAAACATACTTTAGAAGCTGCACACCAACACACCACAGAGCACCACTGATTCAATCGCCAATGCTAAATCAAGAAAAATAAACTCAAGTTAAAACTTTTCATATCACAGCATGGCACATCTGAGAAGAATGACAGATGCAAGTGTCAGCTTCAATTGAGTGCATCTCACACAGCTTCATTTCCACAAGGTCCAGCCCAGTATCTCATACTGGGATGAGAAGCTTCCCATAGGAATACCATCTATCACGTGCCAGCAGCATACTTGTGCCTCTCCAGCACTAATTAAAGACCCAAAAACTTCAAGAACAGCTAGTATTTTTGTATGTATCAGTCCCTGAAAGGACCTTGCTATAAAAGATTTGTGCAAACCACTGGTGAGCACAGGTTTTCAGCACCTACAGCATGCATGGGAGTTACGACTCCAAATCTAAGAATCAATCTGAAGGGTGACCTTTGTGTTCCATTCAGTAACTCCGGGATTTTGTGTTATTAGGTAATTGACAGTTCCAACTCCCATCTCACCTGTCTGTCTTGTCTGTGGATGTGGAAGGAGCTGCCAGTTCCTCTTCCATCCTGCAAACAGAAAATCGAATGTTTTTTTAATTCACGTTTACATCCAGCCACTCACTTCCCGGCACGAGCTGAGCTCTCGGGGGTGCAAAATCAGCACTAGAAGTCTGGATTAGAGGTGCTCATCCACCTCGAGCGGGCTCAGGCTCCGCAGTTTGGTGTTTATTGTCGGAAGGGAGGCTGTGAGGGGCTGTCAGGCCCTGCCCGGCCGGTCCCGCGCAGACAATGGAGCCTTTCCCGCCTTCCGCCGGCCCCGCCCCCCGCCCTTGGCGCCAAACCCCGGCGGCGGCTCCTCACGGGCCGTCGGTCACGTGACACCACCCCCTTCCC